GCAACAATACCAAAGTTTGCTGTAAGCATCCAGAAGAATGCCATTACGGTGCGTGCTATTCAAAGTATTAACAGAAGTGTTGACTTCCAGAAGACACAGACCTTTGAGACGACAGTCTGAACCGCTTCTTAAAATCTGTGCTGGTTTTTTGTCTGTCCCTCACATATTCCTGATAATTCCTCGTTAATAAAGTGTACAAAAAAGGGTTGATACAACTGTTACTATACGCCAAACAAGTAACAACGAAGTTAATGTACACCACCGTACTGCTCGAGAGCCCTCCGTGCGCGTAATAATAGATACTGAGCAACTGCCACAACCAGAAAGGTAAGAAACACGCCCAATAAGTCAGAACTATACTCAAGATCATATATAACACCCTTTGTTTAGGACACTTCTTCATTTCTCTGGATGGGAATATAGACGTTTGCGATAACCAGTAGGTCCGGGCTAATTTCAGGTAGAGATATCCAATGATTAATCCAGGAGCCAAGATGCAGGTGTTGAACAGGATGGTCAGATACACTCTGTACGCGGTCATCTGCCAGGTCGGGTGGCACATGCGCTTCTCTACTCCATTGTGCACGTCTCTCTTGAGGTCAATCATGATCATGGTCGGTAGAGCCAGTATGAAGGAGAAGAGCCACACGAGGCAGGTGACCGCGCGCCTGTAGCGCCGGGACCGGCCGAAGGTGTCCAGCGGGTTCACCACAGCCAGATAGCGCTCTGTGCTCATGATGGTCAGGATGAAGATGCTGGCGTGCATGGTGACCAAATCCAGGCTGAACAGAACGCGGCATCCGATGTCGCCAAAGTACCAGTCCTTCGCAAAATACGTCCAAACCACGAAAGGGATGGTGGAGAGGTACAGCAGGTCCGCCAGAGCCAAGTTCACAATGTAGACATACATCGATCCAGTTACACGCACGGAGGTGTTCATGATGATCAGGGTGTAAACGTTTCCAATTACTCCTACCAAACACATGATGGTCAAAATTGTGCCGAGTATGGATGTTATT